CTCCCAACCCCCCCCCAAAAAAAAAGAAGGATCTAAACACCCTGAAACATATAAGATGGGGTTTCTTACTTTTGTTATGTGTGAAAAAATATATATAACATATGATTAATTGATTCTTAACAGGTGAAAAAAGTTATGAATGAGCCTTGAGGAGGGTTTGTTGTGAAAGCAAAGGGAATCAGATTTGCACCAAATTAGCAAAATCCCAGAAACCTGTTGACCAGTGAGGAGAGAATAAGGCACAGAAATGGGAAGAAATTAAAGAGTTGAGAGAAAGCACCAAAAGAGAGGTAGCAACAAGGGCAGAGAAACTGAGAAAAAGTGGAAGCAAGCATAGACTAATCAGAGCAAGCTTTCCTTATTCATCCACCTATCCCCTTTGGTTCCCCCAGCCCCACCATATTAAGAAACAAAATGTTTTATTGTAATAGAAAATTGAAACCTCATCCTTTTCTTGATTTGGTAAAATACCAAGTCCATGCTCCCAAAAAGAAACGTTCCAGTTAAAAGGGTAATGTTAAAAATGATGCCACCAAATGAACCAATTTTGTAATATAAGAAAAAAAAAAAAAAAAAAAGGAAAATGGGAATCAACACTTTATAAAAACAATGTTTGTGATTAATTTTTATGGTACCACTTTTGGAAAATTGGAGGGTAGGAGAGAGAGAGTGGGGCAAGAAGCAGAGTTATTAAAATTTAAAAGTAAGAAAATAGTACGATGGTAGAAACACATCAACCTCGTCCGTACGATGACGTACATCAGGAGCCAATCAGAATACGAAAACGCACCACCTTGTCATCAAAGTCTTATGTGACATACAGGTTTTAAAGTAACTGTTCATATTATTATTACATTTCGGGCAGGACTTTTCCAGTAAAAAATCTAAGCTAGTCTCCCAAACCCTATGCATCAGATGTGCTTTAGTTTTTTTATTTTTAAAAATAACATTTTTAATATTTTTCTATTTTTAAAAATGTACTATAATCTCAACTTATTTTATACTATTTTATATGAACTTTTATATAAATAAATAATTTATAATTTTATTAAAAAAATTCATTATCGACTTGCTCTGATCTAAATTTTTCGGTGAAAAAAAATGATATTTTATCAATTTGGACGTTAAGAAAGATAATAAAAAATTAAATTCACTTGCTTCTATAATTTTAAGAAGTAGAATTATTTTATACTTAAACCTTAAATTAAAACTGTGTATATATAAAAAGAGAGATTAAAAAAGCAGTATTTTATTTATAAAAAAATTACTAATATTTATATATATCTTAAATATATTTATAATTTGAAAGGATCACTAACTACTCGAATTTTCATTATTTTAATTATGCACTAAATGGTAGTTAACTTTTGATTGTTGTTATTTGAATAATTTAATTTCACTGAATAATATTAGATGTAGATAATTACAAAATAATTTATTTAAAACTAAAATTAAGTTTGAAAGATTTAATTTGGAACATAGACTGTTTTATCAAAACGCATCATAAATACCATTCAAACTCATTGCTCCCACTAGAAACGTGATTTTTAGGCAGCAAACCAATCTGGTCATTACACAGCTGTTTTTGTATAACAGTTTGTTATCGAATATGAATGCAACACTTATCTTCAGTAATGTTTACTAAATGTGGGAAACGGGGATTAAACGGCAAAACAAATTCACACTATAATTGATGCATAAAACACAGATTGGGTCCAATCATGGGATTGTTTTGAGTTCAAACCTTCTCAACTTATTAAATTGATTTGTGCGCCTAATTACAGTTTCTAATATCGTAGTTGAATCTTCAGGTTTTCTTTGGCATTCTTATGTAGAAGGGAAAAAATAAATTAAGCGAATATTCATTATTTGCTATTAGTACAAATTTATAAGATGAGTTAATTACCTGTACATTAAAAGTGTAAAGTTTTTTTTTACTGACAATCAATTATATCTCTTAATTGTTCCATGTCACTGTTAAAAGTAAATGTGTTTACAGTGACATGACACAATTAAGATATATAATTGATTGTCAGTGTAAAAAAACTTTACACTGACAATGTATAGGTGATTAATTCTTATAAGATTATAAGTGGAAAAGAAATCGGAGAATTATTAGCAGAATTTTAAAAATTGGATTCATTATTAAATTGGTTAGAATATTAAATTAGTGGGTCAAAATTAAATTAATGGATCACTAATTGAATCGCATAATCTGATTCCTATTTGTTATACTTACAAATTTATAAATTATAAGTGGAAAAGAGATTAGAGAATTATTAACATAGTTTTAAAAATCGGACCGATTATCAAACTGGTTAGGATACCAAATCAGTAGGTCAAAGGTTAAATTGATAGGTCACTAATTGAACTATATGACCCAATTTTTATTAATTTTTTTAAAAAATATATTCATGTTAAATATTTTTTATACTTATAAATATCAATAATTTCATATAGTATCTTAAATTTCAATTTTTATCTTATTTAAAATTATCTTTATTTTTATTTTGTATAAAAAAATTACATGAAAAAGTTGTATGTTAATATAATTTTAAAATATAAATAATGTGTATGTGTATAATATACTTGTAATTGATATCACAAAATAATTTATGTAATATCTACATATATATTATATTATTAAATATATAATTTAAAAATAATAATATACTATAAAAGTTAATTAAGTTGTAAATATTACAAATAAATACATTAGAACAAGTAGTTATTGTAATATTTAATAAGACTCTTCACTCTCCATGATTTAATTTCCATGTTATGCTTTCCTTTGAATTTCATTTTAAAAGTGATGAAAAATATTTAAACTGTTATTAATTTAAACAATTAAAACTTCAAGAAATAAAATCATTCATTTACCAAATTAGAGGGACTACTATATAAACAATTACAACAAACCTAATGATTAAATTAGGATTTTAAAGTTTAAAAATAGGTTAACTTATAATTTTTTTTTTTTATAAAATTCAATCAAAGTTAATTTATTTTTAGAAACTTAGTGTTATATATTTTAGGCTTAAATAAGTTTTTTATTCTTGAATGAATGTATTTTGATTTTAATTTTTATATTTTTTTATTTTTCATCTCTCTAAAATTTAAAATTATTGTTTTTACTCCCTAAAAATCGAACAAATTTTGATTTTAATTTCTATAAGATATTTTTTTTATTTTCATTCCTTTAAAATCTAAAGTTACTATTTTTTTTAATATTTATTTTAAGTTACATAAATAATATTTATTTTAAGAGTTTATAAAAAAAATGAAGTATTATATGCTAATATAATATCAAATACAGCTATGAATGTCTATAAGATGATTACTTTACCATATATGATATACACAAAAACAGTTAAAAATAACCGTGTAATACTAAGAATTAAAATTAATTTCAATTTTAGAGAGATGAAAAATAAAGAAATTTTTTTACATAGATCAAAATTAAAAATAACCCATTTTATATAGACTATAAATAATTTAAGGTCATATTAAATGTAAATTACCATAAAAACAACTTTTAATCACAGTCTTGTGAGGACAAGAATGTAATTGTTACTAAATCAAATCATAAATTACATGCTTTTGTAACCAATAAATATTAGACATTAAAATTGATTAATTATTAGCTATTATATTTGATATATGTAATTAGTTTAATTAAGCTTTTTGAACAATTGAATAAGTCAGGTTTAGAATTTAAAATTTAAGATAATAGTATATTAATTATTATTTAATTTTTCGTAAAAATAATAATAATCATTTATATGAATCCTCAAATACAAAACAATGATTATAAAAGATTAACTGTGATAAATTGATTGTTGAATAAGAATATAATTTGAATGTTTTAGTTGCATAAAAGTTTTTTATACTCCCAGTTTAGATTACCAATTTTAATAAGATTGTTTACTCTAATAATTATTTTAAAATAACATAATTTTTTTTAAAAAAATAATCCTTGTCTTTTTAATAATAAAAAGGAAAGGAAAGAAATTGACAAATTGTAAGCTTTCACCACGTTCTTTAACGACGTCGTCTTGCTTGATTACTACCGTTGCTACACTGACACACAGTGCCTGCTCCATTTTTCACGTATAGTATGTTTTTTCATTTATTTTATTCTTTAGCAGTTTAGCTAGTCTCGTTTTTCACGTCACTCACGTGGTCTTGTACTAATATTATTTTTTTAATCTATTTTAGGAAATGTTTAACTAAACTTATACAGAAACGCTTTTTTTTTTTTTAAATCAAATTAAAATTACTTTTTATATAAGATAATCCGTAACATTTTTCTCATATAATTTTTCTATTTTTATTTTAAAATTTTATTACTAAAACGTTAATTTATTTTTCTTATTTATTTTTTAAATGTTTCCAGAAAAAATTATTTAACTATATCCATAATCTTAAACAAAATATATCTATCGCCATAAAATAAAATAAAATTAACTTTTTTTATTAACTTATTTTACTTAATAACTCATATTTTATATTAAATTTAAAGATTTAATTACAGAATAATAAATTTTTAATGTATAAATTAAGTTTACAAGTTTTTAAAAAAATTGAAAATCATATAATACTTTGTTATATACATTCAAATCAACATATTAAATGTTTTTACGATTATCTGTCAATTTGAATTAATGAAATGAAATATTAAATAATTTTAAAATTTTAAAAAAATTTGTCAAATTGATCTATATATTAAGAACCTTTAATTTGATAGTTGAATTGTTGAAATTTTATGTAGAACATCTGATATTAAGTGAAACAAAATTCACCTAAACTTATTTTTAGGGGACGTTTGGTATGCATAATATTTTTTACTTTCTTAAAAATCTTAAATCGGGAATTTTGGTTTTTTCATGTTTGATAGTTATTTTAAAAAAATTCTTAGATATTCTGGGCCAAACGTGCGCTAAATTGGTGTATTGTTTTTTGAAAACTATTTTTATCTCATTTTCCCACAAAAATATTCTAATGGGAGGTGAAAATCAAACTTTCTCAAGTTAGGGAAAAAATTACATGCATATAAAAATATCACAATATCATTTTTAAAACAAAAAATATCTCTTTTTCTCTTTCTCCTTCTGTTACTCTTTCTCCCCCCCTCCTCCCTCTCTCTTTCTCACTCCCTCCCCCCCCCCCTCCCCCCCCCCCTCCTCCCTCATTCTCTATCTCTCTCACTCTCATTTCCCCTCTCTTCCTTTTTCCCTCTCCCTCTCCCTCTACCTCTCTTCCCTTTTATTTCTCTCTCTCTCTCTCTCTCTCTCTCTCTCTCTCTCTTTATCTATATCATAATTCTTACTCCTCTTCTTCCTTTTGTTGACCAAGTTCAAGATGAATACTTATTTTATGCCTTGATGATTACAAAGAGTGTTTC